CCTTCCCCTCAAGCACCCTTTCCTTTTTGCACCTCAAGGGCACTGCATACATCAAGCACACAAAACTTCCAGGATATTTTCCAGCACTGAACTTCTCTCAAACATTTCCAAACTCACTTTTTTTAAGTTTGCTAAGTAAATCCTAATTTGGCAATAAATTTAATGCAATCGATTACGAAAAACATCTGCATTAAAATATTAAAAACGCAATTTATAGTAGTCTAGCCTCCATATTGTTAGAGTTTCTTATTGATTTGTGTTGGAGTAGTAAGAAGAAGAAGAAGAAGATGGCGAAACAGCCGAAACACACCTGTGAATACGTGACCTTTCAATTTATGCGAGCAGCGAACCAAATCGAAAACATTTTTTATGTCTCTGCCCCCGCTCCTGCCATCAAAATTTATGACCACTCGCTGAGCCTACACACACACACACACTCGCACACATGTATATGTGTGGCTCTTCAGGCTCTCATCTGTTCATGCCATATTCGATTTTCCCGTTTAGCCTGCAGCATTTTCAAAATTCGTCTGACAAATATTTGCCTGCCAGGGCAGGCGCTGGCCATAAAGCGTTTTTTTGAAAAACAAAAATAAAAGCGAAAATGAAAATGAAAATAAAAATGCTGTCATGGCCAGTGAGTCGGGTGAACAGTGCTTGATATGGCTGACGAAATTATAGCCAGCTCTCCGCTAAAGCCGAAACTGAATTTTCGCGTACAATTCTCAATTGGTTTTTCTGGTTAGGCTAAACTAGTTGACTTCAAATTGACATTTGCCTTGGTCCAGTTGACTAGTTGTGGCCGAGAGTCGTTAGTTCGAGTCACAAATCACAGTCACATAGCTGAGCTTAACTGTCCGGCACACACACACACACACATGCACACACGTACAGCTTTATCATACATCTGCCAGTCGCATACCACATATGCAGCACCCTCCTTCTCTCTCTCTCTCTCTCTCTCACTCTCTCTCTCTCTGTGCACACTCATTCAAATTTATGCCTAAGCGCTGATTATGACAAATATGCCACGCTTCACTGACTGCGCTTCGCTGTCAGATTTGGGAAGGGTGCGGGCACTACGACCCAAAATGTCGACCCCTTAAAGCGCTTATTGTGTTTCGCTTGGCCTGTTTTTTGCCTGCTGCTCGGTCATTTTACGCAAATCCCAAAATAAATACGACTCCTTATTATTAGCATCAGTATACGAAGGCACACACGTACACACACACCCACACACGTCAACATAGCCGCGCCCCAAATAAATAAAATAAACCAAAAGGCAGCAGGTCTCCCGCACTTCCCGCTACCCCTCCGCATTTGCCCTCACTAATGACACATCAGCTGGAGGGAGCTTCTACTGCTATTTCTTCTTCTTCTTCTTCTCGTTTCCTCCTCCAAAATGGGGAGGCGAGGCGATGCGTGTCAACAATTATAATGTGCAAATTGTTTGATGTATGTCACCTGCCACATTTGCTTTATTGCCGCTCATTAGAAATGCTCAGCCATCAGCTTTGCCAAGGCAGACAAATAGAGAGAAGCAGCAACAAAAAAAAAAAAGGAAATAAATACAAATACAAATAAAAAATACAAAATACGAACCCAAACACACACACACACACACACCCACACACGGCTAACCAAGCCCACCCACGTATCAACATCGGCTGACAACAATGACACCTTCCATTAATAGCTGTTCCGTTGATGTGTGGCATGCACTGCGCGAAAAATTGGGGGCGGTTCAAACTATGCTAAATATTGTAATAAATACATAATTGTATTAAATATATATATTAAATATATAGTAGTCTATAATAAGTATGCAATAAATTTGTAGGTAACAAAGTACTTAAAGTTAAAAATATAACAAAGATATAAGTATATAATTTGTAATTTAAAAATATTAAAAAAAAAAAAAACTATATATAAACTTAAGATATAATAATATAGGTTTATAAATAGAAGACTCTTAAAATTTATTCGAATTCTATTATTGTTATTGACAATATTTAAATACAGCAAACAATTCTCAAAAAAAAATAAATAAATAAATAAATAACTAAAATAAAATAAAATTAAAAAAAAATGTATATATAATATAATATATAAAATTGCACTAAAAATTTAATGAATCTATCGTTTTATCCATATTTGAATATTTTCTAAAAAATAATCTCAAGGCATTAGCTGAAATAAATTTAGAATAAATTCGGATATTAAGCAGCTTTGCTTTATATTTAATTAAATATATAAAATTGCAACAAAAATTTAATGAATATATCGATTCATCTATATATAAATATTTTCTCAAAAATAATCTAAAAGCAATACCCAAAATAAATATAGAAAAAATGCAGATATCAAGGAGCTTTACTAGAACATCATCAACTAGATTTCTCTAGCAATCTCAAAACTTACGATTGCAGTGCATTTCTCTATAGAATAATTTGGCTCTTGGCTTAACAAATTTTTGGCTACATTTGGCTTATATATGTGCGTATTCGTCGGTCTCTATGTCTCCTAGAGGTTTTAGCTGCGATTAATGACAGCACATCGCAAAGATTTTGCCTGGCTGCGGGCAAAACAGGGTATAAAAAGAACAAAGTCAACTTGATGTGACATTTTGATGAATGGCAACTGAAGTTATATGAGATATATATATATATGTGTGTGTATGTGTGTGCATGTGTCATACCGGAAAGCATAGCCAACGAGCAATTTGGACACACAATTTTGCATACAAATGGTTTTTGGCTGGACAATTGTAGCGATATTCCAGTAATTTGGTGACTTTTGTCGGGTGTGTGAGTGTGTGAAGTGCACAAATATAACGTATACGCATTTTGCTGGCCATGAAACCAATCAGCGAGCTTAGCCAAATGATGAAAACCAAAGAATATAACAAACAACCCGTTGGCTGTTGCCAACAACAATGGCATCCATAACTAAGCTCAGCTCTAAAGCCCGACAAAAGCAAACACAACAAACAAAGCAAACAGAAGCAAACAGACAAAGCGCAATAAGAATGGTGATACTCTAGTTGGGTGTAAGCGACTGCATAATGCTCGTTTAGGGTTTATACATATATAGAGTAAATTATAAAAAAAAAAAATATGTACATATATATGTCTATATATAAAAGGATATATGGAAATATTTTTTTGGAGAGGAGGAAGAATAGAGATCCTTTGGGCCTTGATCTGAAATGCTATTATGTATGCTGCAGTTATGTCATCTATTTGTAGGGATATTCAATAGGTATTCAAGCACTAAGCTTAGAGTTCTTAAAGTGTGTGTGGAAGTGTGAATATAGAGCCCTCAAATTGTATCAAACACGCCATATATCTATCATCTATCTATCTATCTATCTATCTATCTATTTATCTATCTATCTATCTATCTATC